ATACTTGTACAATATTGATATAGATTTTTATTTTGTTATAGTTTTTTTTCACTTGAATACGTTGGTACAATGTTGATATAAATGCATTTTGATGATGAATACACTATCCGTATTGAAATTATGAAAATTCCTTTGTCTTATCACTACCACAAAAATAACTTTTTGCGGCAATAAATATTGAAAAATCTATATTACATATTCTTTTTATGCGAGATGTTAGGAATCCATTGTGTTTCTTACTCTTTCATGTTGACAACTCAATTCATTCGATTACTACTAGAGATGAACCCAATTCGGAATATGAACCATAAAAGAAAATACCTATTAAATCAACTACAAGAATACTCGTTACAGTACCTATTATCCAAAGAGGAATCCTTCCAGTACCATCAGTCATTTACCTCACTTCCCTCCAAATTTCATCAAGTGGTCACAAATACATTGATACAATTATATAATAGAGTAATGAACAAAAATATATTCAAATACATGATACAAATATAAAACAAGAAACTAATAGGCTTGAATACATTGATACAAATTTATAATAAGTTGCAAGACATGTAAATGAATAACAAGGAATATTAAATAAACTTTGATACATTGATATAAATATGTAATCCATATTACCTACAAACAAATATATTTGATACAATAATACTGAAACAAATATACTCCAGTACATGAATTGGAGTAAAACATAAATTGAAAAAATCTTCTTTTTTTTATGTGTCAAAAGTAACAAGTAAAAATGAAAATTTATTTTAAAATTAAATGACAAATAAAAATGAACCGAAGAAGTAATTTTTATCAAACTATAATTATATATAATAAATACGTATCATAGTTTACCTTACCATGTAGTTTTTCCAATTTGATAATCACTTCAAATGGCAATTTTCACAATGGTTCAAAAATTTGTTTATTTATTTAAAAAAGGTCGAGAGATTAGATAGAAAAAATTAATACTGCAACTAGGTGCTAACTGATAATACAAGGACGTTAGCGATCGACAGGCTCCTCAATTTCAGATAATACACATAACTACGTTTTTAACTCTAGAAATAGAGTCTTATTTTATTTGTCCATTTTAACAAATTAAGAAAATTTTATTATTTACTTTTCATTATATTCTTGGTATAAATAACTATATAAAAATAATTAGTCAAATTTAAAAATTTAAAAACAAAATTAATAAAGTTAATTTAATAAAATAAACTTATTTAAATTTTTTAAAATCTTATATCAAATATGGATAAAGTAAGTATGAACGAATAAAGTATATTTAAAAGCTTTTCCTTGAGATAGACAAAATCTTGAAAGACGAGAGAGCTTGGAAAGGACCATCCTTAACTGGATAAACCTAGATATTAACTACTAATCTGACCAGATTAGCATTGAAGCTTAAATTGGAGTTAATCTGACCAGAATGACATTGATTTTATGCCTAGTAAAGCATTTTCCTAATTTTCTACTCCCTCAATATTAATTCATTTTTACTTGTCATAATTTGACTTGACACATCTATTAAGAAAATAATTACTGATAAAATTATAATAATGTCTTGAAAAATAATTATTTAATGCTGACAATTGTATTTTCTTAATATGTCAAAAGTGACAAGTAAAAATGAAATTTATTTAATGCTGACAATTTTTTTTTTTTTATAATAGTGGTATTTTTTACATAATTAAGGAGATATTAATGATGCTTTTTCAATTGCTTCTCCTTCCATTTCAAAATAAAACTTTTTCCATTTCATTAATGATATTTTTTCAATTTGCAGTAGTTCTCCTTCCATTTTTCAAAATAAAACTTTTTCCATTTCATAATAATCAGAAGATATTAATAATTTTTTTTTCAATTTTATACTTATTTAAATTAAGAGAGTTTTACATACTTAAAAACTAATAAAGAACTACATTAAAAAGGTATTTATTAGGGGTAAATTGATTTAAAAAAATATTAATCTTATTGATTATGTAAAATATTACTTATAATGAAATAAAATAAAAAAATAAAAATATAACTTATTTTGAAACGGAGAAAGTATTGTTATAAGATGAAACAGAAAACAAATGACTAGTCGACCTCGAACTTCATCGTACACTAATTTCGTCTTGAATCATCCAATGACTATTACCGCCATCTTCGTCAAGATAATTAATTGGTTAAGGTTTCAATTGAATACATTGAGAGCCTTTTTCCTTAATTTATTTGCTTGTTTATAAACTCTTCTTTTTTCTTCAATTTAATTTTAAAATTTGAAACAAAGATTTTTATAAATTTTATTTGTTACCAACTTACCATTTGAAAAAAATCATATCCATACTCTCGTGTTATTAACCGTTAATTTCTTTAAATTAAAGTGGGCATACACAATTAGCATAGGCAACAAATACTCTTTGTTTAAGAAAAGACAATATTTTGTTTTACCTATTATATCTTAATTTATTTAGAGAGTTAATATTTTTGAAATAGGTAGAACTTTTTTTAATGAGTAGATTGATTTTTGAATTCTATTAATTAATAGGGGTAAAATAGTAAACTATGTCAATTATTATCTTTTTAATAGATGTGTCAAGTAAAATATAAACAAGTAAATAAGGAGAGAGGGGGTTATATATTTCCTCTATTCTAAAATATTGTGTGATTTGGCTTTTTCAACATATAAGTTAAGGTGAATATTGTTAGTAGTTTTTTATATGAGAGTCTTTTTGTGTAGATCTGTATATAAATTTTAATTAAATCAATGAAGTAATTTTATTCGATTGAACTAAAAAGTTGATTAAATAACAAGGACAATCGTAGGAATCCTCAAAATTTGTGGCCCCTATTTTGTAGTCTAGTCTTCGTTGGGATTTTAAATAACTTCGTTCTAAGCCCTCCGTTGTCTTCACGTTTGATAGTTAGGCTCCATTTTTTCATTAAGAACGGTCGATAGTTTTTTAATTTTTTTATGTTTGATTGGTTAAATTTTATAAAAATTATCTTTTTTAGGAAAATAGTTCTTTTAAAATAGAAGAATATTTTTTCTTAATAGAAATCGAAATATAAGTTTTACAAGTGACATTTTGCATTGATTGTATCAGCCCCACTCTCCGACATACCTATCTTCATCCCCATCTCCATCACTGCACACCTATATTTTCCGTCCCACCTCTCATAGTATTTGCTTAGATTATTTAAGAATACGTTCAGAGTAATAGTTTTTCTACTTAAGTACCAAACACAAGAAAATAAATAAAAAATTCATTCATCCTAAAATATCATTTTCCTTCCTACCAAACACACCCAAATTCCTCTTGTTTTAAATTACATTCGAGGGACTCCTACCAAAATAGTTCATGATTCACCGTAAAATATTATATACGTAGTTAAATCAAATATTTATATTAAAACTAATAGCAATGCATGATACTACATCAAATAGTAACATTTTTTACCCGAAATATAACTATATGTGAAAAATTATTAAAATTACAAATTTTTTAAAATTAAATCCATAATTTTTAAAATGTAATGAATTTACGGTAAGAACTTGAAGATTGAACCTCTCAAATATAAAATCCAGATTTATCTCTTTGTAATTAAAGCAATTAAGGTGAAAGCTAATGTTTGCTCATTATATTGTTAAAAATTATGCATACATATATACCATATACATAATAAATAGTCTTGATGACTAGTAAAGGAATAAGGATATAAAAAAAATCTAAATTAATTAGGATTAATTGTCTATCCTACTATCTTTAAAGATATAATATAATCAATTTACTATATTTGATAAAGAGAAATTAAGACGTGATATTCTTCTCTGAATATTATTATGCCTATTTTTTTAAAATTTTGAATTTGTCTCTGTTGTAAAGATTTTTCTACATTACTAGTGACTTCTTACCGGTGATGGTAGGTTATTTATTAATTCTACCAAAATTTCAAATAGGTAATACCTATTAAGAGGTTTATACATAATTACAAGCAAACTGATTGTAAAAATGAAAAATAAAAAAATTATACTATAAGGGCATACAATACAAGTTAATTATAAACTCATATAAATAAATTAAACCCAATTAGTGGTAGCTAACCCCTAGCTGTTAATGAGTAGAACCATGTTATACAAACTAGTAAAACCTATCCTATTGGATTTTCTTAATCTTGTAATAACACATTTTATACTGTCACTTTAAGACAAAAATGCAGAAGCAGATCTGCCAAAAACTTACATAAAATTTAAAAAGAATATCTCACTTCAACAACTTTAATGAGTCAAAACCGCCCCCAAACAGTTCTAAATCATCCTAAAGGCATTGCAAATATTTTAATGATAAAAAAAACATATTTTGTTTCCTATCAACTTCTATCTCAAAACGTCAATCGAAATTAGTTAAATCTTCAAATTCAATTTTTAATCACAACTACATGAAGATATTCCCAGAAAATACATTTGTAAATTTTCCTTTTCTCGTTCTTATTTCCCACTTTGTAATTAACCAAACAAAATGCTCTCTATACATATAACTTGCCAAATTAACAAATATAATATGGTAATAATAGTAATATTCTTCTTAATTTGCACATTGTAAAACTAGCACCTTCTCACATGTCCAACTAGTAGTTAATTACTACCTATAATTAAAACTAATTAGTAATCTACTAACCATGCACATAGTAAACTACTCCCATCACATCTCCCTAAACACAACTTGACAACTCACCTATTTTTCATCCAACCCTTCTCAAATCTCTAATCCTCCCCCAAATTAGGTATCTTAATAGTTTCTCGACTATCTGAACTTTCACTTTATTGACGAGAATAATAATTTTTTCCCGGCCCCTCACCGGGTAGGAGCAGCTTGTGGTCGGGAGTTTATCCGGATTTTTTTTAATGAAAAATTATACAATTCTATACCTAGTTAAAATTATTGGTAGATGTCGAATCCACTAGATCTTATTTTTACTTCTTCAAATCTTGAACCCTTTTCGCGAAAATTCTAGCTCCGCCGCTATCTGTCACCACCCCTTCCTCAGTTTCTTCTATAAACTCCTCCTCAAGGCAAAAACTCACCCTTGAAACAGAGTAGGAAACAGAGCTCTTTCTCTATTCATGGCGGGTTCTAATCCAACCCCTTACTATACTCCAACCTCCAAACCCACTCCAACTTCCCACTATTCTTCTTTACCTTTGAAAAAACCCAATCTTTATTCATTAATTGCCATCACTTTTCTCTGCTCTGCTTTTTACTTCACCGGTTTATGGCAAAGCAGCACCACCGGCGCCGGTGCCGGCAGCAGCAGTGTCGTCATCACCACCACTTCCCTCCCCTGTTTACCTTCTAAAAACACCTCCACAAATCCTCCATCTTCAAGAACCACCACCAAAAAACTAGACTTCACCACCCATCACTCCGCTGCAGACGGCGGAGCAGCTGTTACAGCACCTGATGACGCAATCAAGATTTACCCTGTTTGCGACATCAAGTACAGTGAGTATACCCCATGTGAAGACCCTGAAAGATCATTGAAATTCAACAGAAGAAGATTAATTTACAGAGAAAGGCATTGCCCTGAAAAGAATGAACTCTTGAAATGCCGTATACCTGCACCGTACGGTTACAAGAATCCATTTAAATGGCCTGTTAGTAGAGATGTTGCATGGTATGCTAATGTTCCACATAAAGAATTGACAGTAGAAAAAGCCGTTCAAAATTGGATTAGATATGAAGGTGACAAATTCAGATTTCCTGGTGGTGGAACTATGTTCCCTAATGGTGCTGATGCTTATATTGATGACATTGCGAAATTGATCAATCTTAAAGATGGCTCCATTCGAACCGCCATTGATACTGGCTGTGGGGTAAATTTTACCTTCTTCCTTCAAAATATTCTCTGTTTTGCTTGTTTGTTACATTTTCTTCTTGAATTTTGATACTCCCTTTTACAGTATTGCATTTCTTGAGTCTTTAGTCCCCAGAAAATGAAGAATAAAATAATCAACTTCTGATAGAAATTTTAGTCACGAGTGAAATGACAGTTAATTACTCCATGATAGTAATACTTTTATAGATCTGCAAAAGCAAATTTGCACCCAGGTGTGGTCTGGTGGTTAATGAAGTGGTTGAGATTTATGAGTTTGTTCAAATCTTAGCGGAGACAAAAAACACTAGGTCATTCTCTAATCTGTCGTAGTCTTGGTAGACAGAGTTACCTGGAATTTATTGTTGGTGGAAGGTGACAAATATCCTGTAGAATTAGTCGATGTGGCTGAAATAAGACCACAATCATAAAAAAGTGGGTGGGACAAATTTAGATTAAGCATTGATGATGAATGAAATCTTTTAATGTGAAAGAGTGACCTAAGAGGGACTACAAGAAGTTGAATTATGTGTAGGAATAATTAGGAAAGTGATGTTCCTTGCTTAGATTGGATTAGAAATAGGCCAGTGAGGTGTACTTAGAATCTAGACAAAAAGCTCTTTTGTCCATGAGGAATCAAAGCAGCTTTTTTTTTTCCTGACCTGAATTCCTTCATTCTACACCTGGCACTCCATGCATGATATCTCATTTTCTTCTGTGAATCTTTCAGCAGCTAATTACACAACTTTTACTACAATTCTACTACATAAAGAATCTTATTTGTATATATGAAAACTTCTATTTTTACCATAGAAAGTTAATTTGCTGCATTAAGCAGAGGGAAATGATGTTGAGGAAGATAATATGTTTGCAATTGTATTGAAACATTAAAAATATATGCAGGTTGCGAGTTGGGGAGCTTATCTTTTGTCGCGAAATATCATAGCCATGTCATTTGCACCTAGGGATTCACATGAAGCACAGGTTCAATTTGCTCTCGAGCGCGGAGTACCTGCTCTAATTGGAGTTATTGCCTCCAAGAGGCTTCCATATCCATCTAGAGCTTTTGACATGGCACATTGCTCTCGTTGTCTAATTCCATGGGGCGAGTATGATGGCATGTATTTGATTGAAGTTGATAGAGTCCTTAGACCTGGTGGATTTTGGATCCTCTCTGGCCCGCCGATCAACTGGAAAAGACATTGGAAAGGCTGGGAAAGAACCAGGGAAGACCTATATGCTGAACAAAATAAAATTGAGCAAGTAGCTAAGAGACTCTGCTGGAAAAAGTTTGTTGAGAAGGATGATATCGCAATATGGCAGAAGCCGTTCAATCATATGAAGTGCACAGAATTTCGAAACAGAAACAAAAATCCACCAATGTGTCCTGCACAAGATCCTGATAAAGCCTGGTTCGTGCTTCCTTCGATTTATCGTCACATTTGGTATTATCCTACAATCCATATTCTCTTAGCATTGAGATTACTTCGTGTCGATTTGATATTTGCAGGTATACAAAGATTGAAACTTGTTTAACTCCCTTGCCTAAAGTTGCAAGTGAAGAAGAGGTGGCCGGTGGACAATTGGAAAAGTGGCCTAAAAGATTACACGCAATACCACCAAGGATAAGCAGGGTAACTGTAGATGGTGTCACAGAAGAAGTTTTCCAGAAGGATTCACAGCTATGGAAAAGAAGAGTTTCTTATTACAAGTCAGTGAATAACCAGCTTGGCCAGCCTGGGCGATATAGAAACATCTTAGATATGAATGCATTCCTAGGTGGCTTTGCTGCAAATTTGGTCAATGATCCTGTTTGGGTGATGAATATAGTTCCCGTTGAGGCTAAGGTCAATACACTTGGTGCTATTTATGAACGAGGACTAATCGGAACATACCAGAGCTGGTAATTACTATGCTTCCTTCACATTTCCCCCCTAACCCCAGTAAATGGCAGCATTAATTTTAGGTCGACTATAGCTATGTGCACAGAAAGCTAGTACTATTGACAGAGTTAGATGCACATTTCAGCACATACGCTCTTAATTCAGAACTCATATTGTCTAAATTCTGGATCTACCTACCCCTGTAGTTTTGCTTTTGTGATGAATATTAACTTTTTTCTATAGGTGTGAGGCTATGTCAACTTACCCAAGAACATACGATCTCATTCATGCTGATTCCGTATTTACCCTCTACGAAAACAGGTAAATTATGATCTCCAAAAGATCATGTTCTTTTACCTTCTTGGATATGGAAGTCTCAAAAATGTTTTTGTTTATTGTTTAACAGATGTGAAATGGAAGATATTATGCTAGAATTGGATAGGATATTAAGGCCAGAGGGAAGTGTAATAATCCGAGACGACGTAGATATATTGATCAGAGTGAAAAGAATAGCAGATGGACTGAACTGGGATAGTCAAATTGTTGATCATGAAGATGGTCCATTGGAGAGGGAGAAGCTTTTCTTTGCAGTAAAGACATACTCGACAGCTCCAGCTACTCAACCATCTAAAACTACTTAAACCATCATTGTTGTAATCTTTTTTTCTGTTGTTCATCCTCTCTTTCTTGTATTCTTTCACTTGTTAAATTGTAGTAGTAGTACTATTACTTGCAAATTGTAAACTCTAGGGTTTTAGTGATTCTTCTGCAATTCCAATGAAGTCATGAGTTCTGTGCTAACTTTATCTTATCTCTACAACTGCATGTTTTCATTTCTAGAGAAGCCTATTTTAAACTTCAAATCTAAATATTCAGTAAGACGTTACTGAGAAATACGTTTGTGCTATTTTAGTCAACTATTCAGGTTTTGTACTAGTTAAGCTAATTTATTTTACTTTTGTATTATTTAGGTCAAAATTTTGGGAAAAATGAGTTCCCTGCATAGTAACCATATTGGACCAATTGATACAATGTCATGGTCTAACTATAAATTGCAGGCCAAATTAAAAGACAAAAAAGCTGAGTGGCACAAAACATTGAATTAGGTCCTTCATGCAGATAGGTCATTCTTCATACACTCCACACTTTTGCTTACCTTAATACTATATATAAATATACAGAATCCTAATTAACAAGAAGAAACAAGTCAGCTGCATATATTAAAAACAATCATATTATGGCAGACCTGAAATCTGTTCTTTCCCTAGTGCTTTTGAGTATCCTTATAACTGTATTGCTGCAAAGCCAAGTGATTGAATCTCAGGGTGAGCCACAGACATGCTTGGCATCACTTGGGAACCTGAACGTCTGCTCCCCATTTGTATTTCCGGGAACATCGAATACGACTCCTAGCACAGAGTGTTGTGCTGCCCTCCAATCATTGGATCATGAGTGCATCTGCAACACTGTTCGTGTTGCTGCTCGCCTTCCTTCTCACTGCAACCTTTCTCCCGTCTCTTGTGCTCGTCATCACTAACTAGTCATTTTAGCATATTGAATTTGTTCCAAAGAAGTGTTTGTTCCTTTTTTTCAATTAGTGGAGTGTTAGTCTCAACAAATAATCATATGTTAGGAAAATTAGGATTTTTGGTGGTGTGATTTTTCTGTTAGTATACTCAAAGTCCTGGCAACACAACAATGTTTTTGTTGATTTTTTCTGCTATTTCTCTCAGGACTGAGAGGTACTTGATATATATGTGAGTTGAGAAAAAAGAAAAGGAAACCGTGAGATAGATGAAACATTATATATTCTAATTAATAAAGATGAACTAAATCTAACTGCCTAGTAGTACATAGTAGAAAGAACAAAAAAGTGCTAAAACGAATAATAAACTAGTGAGTGCTTTGCATGCCAAACTGGGAAATTCTGCAATCACCTCTAAGTTCCATCACATTTCCATAGAAAGGTGGGAACACAGCTGAGGTAGTGACACCAATGACAGTGATCATATATGTTCACTCCTCGAAATACCATCACCAATCCTATTGTAAACCTGCAGTTTCATGTAAACAAGATTATTTGGTCAGGTCCATCATCATCCTATCGGAAATACCAAATTTGTTGACACCAATAGATAGTAGAAAATACTTACACTGACCCTGTAACTAGTAGAATCAGAGAAAGCAGTCCAAGGACATTTCGGTAGGCCTTATATTTGGAGTAGACATGATCAACAACTGGAAGATTCTGATCATTTTCTGCCCGCCCTACATGAGGAGGCACGAGCAGAACAAATCCAAGGAGAAGTCCAGTCATGAATCCACTGATATGAGCAAAATTACCAACGTGAGGCAGCATTCCAGCTGCCAGATTTATGACAACTATCAGCAACAGAGTGAACAGTGCACCAACAGAGACGCTCCAATTTGCAATAATCTCTGAAAACTTAGCTCCAATAAGGCCAAAGAGAGCCCCAGAAGCACCAACAGAGACGCTCCTCTGAATAAATAACGAGGTAAGTATGCTCCCCCCAATTCCTGAGAATAGGTATATGATACCAATGCGGACTGTCAAAGCAAAACAAGTTAATCAAATCAATATCAGCATAAAGCAAAAGAGGGTCAAAATTCATATATGAGAAGGCGCTGACATACCAAAACCATATTGTTGCTCAAGGTGTTTGGCAACAACCATAAAACCCATTGTACTTGCGAGTAGATGAATAAGACTAGCATGCAACCATATAGACGTGATAAGCCTCCATACTTGATGATGATAGACCACTTTATTCCAATCAAGAGCACCAAGCCTCTCTAACCTTCATAAATTACAAAATACGGTTAATGTGGTCTGGCCCTTTTCTAGACTTCCAGACTCGTGGATAGTGTTTAGTGCACGGGGTTGTGATCCATCCCATTTTATGTGAACATATTACTATTTGGAGAGTCAAACGAATTTTTTCAAACATCCTTTGAACATTTTGAATCATTAGCTATGTTTGACTTGTACTACTTTTCATAGAGTTTTCAAATATATAAATTTTATTTTATAATATTGAACATGTTACATAAATTGGAAGAGGGATATAGAAGTGCTTACATTGAAGAAGAAAGGCCAAAGAGAGGATTTGAACACCTTGAATCCTGCTTTTGACAATGAATGAAAAAGTACATGACAAAACCCAACATAACATATTTGGCTGCAAAAACCAAATTGTAACAAACATTATTCATATTATTATTGTTGTTTCTCATGGCAACTGTTATTTTGCTTTAATAGGGGTCTTTTCAAGGCAAACTGAAATAGCAAATCCAACGGAAGAAAGAATCGAATTGAGTTAAGAGTGCTATGGCCCACCAACAATTGTTGTTGAATATATATATACTAGTTTTTCGACACGTGCATTGCACATGATTATCAATTTAGAAATTTTAAGCGAAGATTTGAGTAATAAGCTTTGCACAAAATAATATTGCAGATTCTTTTGTAAATGTTCAATGTGGATCATCATATATATCTCTTATTCACAATATGGTACCTCATATTCCGCTAAACTTCAAATTCACTCAACGACAATAAATCACACGAAATTTTTTAAAATGCAAGATGAAGAAGAAGAGTAGAAGCTTAAAAACAATTGTGATTGAAAAATGAGAGAAAACCCCTCTATTTATAGTCAACAAAGCATATTATGAGCAAGCGTTTTTGTGTCTTATCTGAAAAGTCATGACCTTTTCAAGAAGTCACAACCCTTTGGAAAAGTCACAACTTAATTAAAAAGTCACAACTATTTGGAAAAGTCACAACTCATCGAAAAATCACAATCCTTTGAAAAAGGTCACAACTTGTCAGAAAAGCCACAACTCATCAAAAAAGTCACAACCTAAGTTAGGGATATATGAATTTATACTACAATAAAAATTAAACAAATAAACACTTCAACTGGCGTTATTATAAGTCATATCAACTTTTATTCATTGAAAATACTGAAATATTAAGAAATAGTAATTCAGTAAAACAAAAAAGCAATGTTTATATAGTAATAACTATTTTGAAGCAAACTTCCTGATAATCTAAATCACATAAGTAGCATTGATAAATAATGCCATTCTCTTGTCTTGGCAATCAGAAAAATAAATCGTGACAATTCTCTAACTCTTGAGAAGTTGAATAATTTGGAAAAAGATATTCAGAAGTATATATCTACATCACAAGAGAAATTGTTAACAAAAGCAAATGAATTTAGACTACAATAAAAATTAAACTAATACAAACTTCAACTGAAGTTATTACAAGTCATATAAACTTTTCTTTGTCGAAAATACTTAAATATTAAGAAATAGTAAATCAATAAAATAAAAAGGGTAATGCTTATATAGTAATAATTATTTTGAAGCAAACAACCTGACAATCTAAATCACATAAGTAGCATTGATAAATAAAATTATTCTTTTGTCTTGAACATCAAAAAACAAATCGTGACAGTGTTAATAATTTTTAAAAAAGATATTCAGAATCATATATCTACATCACAAGAGAAATTGTTAACAAAAATAAATGAATTTAGACTACATCATGTTAACTTCATATATTGGAACATTACATACTAATGTATATACTAAGAAAAAAAATATTATATCATCAGAATTATTTTCCTCAAGTACCCTAGGTTAAGGAATATACCCTCTTACGATAGAACAATTTACTTCATCGGAATAGTGGTACCTCATATTTCGCTAAACTTCGAACTCACTCAACGACAATAAATTACACGAAATTTTTTAAAATGCAAGAAGAAGAAGAGTAGAAGATTAAAAAGAAATTGTGGTTGCAAAATGAGAGGAAACCCCTCTATTTATAGTGAACAAAGGGTAGTATGAGCAAGTGTTTTTTGTGTCTTATGCGGAAAATCATGACCTTTCCAAGAAGTCATAACCCTTTGAAAAGTCACAACTTATTTAAAAAGTCACAACTATTTGGAAAAGTCACAACTCATCGAAAAATCACAACCCTTTGAAAAAAGTCACAACTCATCGAAGAAGTCACAGCCTAAATTAGGGATATTATAGTAATTTAACATTTAAGTTAGGAGTTCATGTTTTTAAGGTAATATATATATATATATATATATATATATATATATATATATATATATATATATATATTTCTAATTTTACCATTGTTGAAAATCATTTAAACGTTCAAATTTTAATAATAGTCAAAATTCAAATATTTGTTTATATAAAAAAAATAGTAGGAAAAAACTTCTAAATTTCCATTCGATCATTTTTTCTCGGTAAATTTTTCAAAGATTACTATAGTAAACTTGTAATTCTATTTAGTACTCTTTAGAAGGGTGGCAAGCTAGGCTTAAGTTATATACGACCCCTCAAAGTTGTACGCATAATTCATTTACACATCTTAACTAAGACTAGTATCTATTAAACACTTTAAAATTAGTATAGGTGGACCATTAAATATTATTATTTTATAAAAATATTATTTAATCGATAAATTAATATTTACTAATTTTAAGAGTGTTTTGAGATTCAATGAATGTTAATTTTGATTACATCAAAATTATTGTATCTTATTAATTTATGTATCATAATTATTGAATTTGCATAGTTTTTTTTTTTGGAAAATACATAGATTCCCCCCTGAACTTATCCCGAAAAGTCAGTTACACACTTAAACTATCATGGTGACCTATTACACACCTTAGCTACTCAAAAGTGAATTTATTACCACCCTGAGACGTGTAACACCACTCTCACATTATGTGGTGTATTACACTCGCTGCCACATCAGCGCTACATCAGTTCAGCATCATGTCATAATTATAATTTTTTGTTTTCTTTTCTTTATTAATTAACTTTTCTTTTGTTAACTATATTTTACTCTAACTAATCCCTAATTAATTATTTTAATTCTCTAATAATTATATCTTCTCTATCACTAATCCCACACATTTTCAATTCTCATTTCATCGGAAAATCATATCCGGCCCTACCTTCACTATTGATTTTGTTCTTCACCACCACTGTATCACCTTCAATTCTTCTTCTTCTTTGTCACCCAACACCAAATATCACCATCACCATTATCAATATCAATTTTTTCTTCTTCACCACCTTCAATTATCTCTTTTAATGTTTGTCACCTGCCACCCATCACCACCAAACCCATAAAGCTGCTATTACCACCAAACCCAAAAATTGATTAACAACCAAAAATTCTTTAACAAAGTCATAAAAAATGAAAAAGATAGAAACAATCAATCAATTTTTTTCCGGAAAAGGTCCTAAAATACCCTTGAACTATTTGAAATGGTACAAAAATACCCTCCATCCACCTATTGGCTCCCAAATACCCCTGTCATACACATATTGGCTCCCAAATACCCCTGTCATCCATCTTTGAGTACAATATTGGCCACTTTTATAACAAATTGTCATTTAAATAATTTTTTAACTACGTGTCGGCCATCTATTGGATATAATTTAATAACTTAAATTAATTTACAAACTCACCCATTATTAATTATATCCGACCCAAATTAATTAATTACACTCGTCCCAAATTACATTTACCCCACCGATTAAAACAAATACACCCTTTATTCCCAACATTTCACTTCATCTTCCAACCTTCTTCCCCAATATATTCGCCTACAATCTCGAAAAACACTACCTAAATACACGTGTATCACCATAAAAAAATCACTAAAACTCTCATGATTATTTATTGATACATGAGTGTATTTAGGTAATATTTTTTTGAAATTGTAAGCGAATATATTGGGGAAGTAAGGTTGGAAGAGGAAGTGAAATGTTGGAAACGAAGGGTGTATTTGTTTTAATCGCTGGAGTAATGTAATTTGGGGCGGGTGTAATTAATTTGGTCTGGTATAATTAACTTGAGTCAAATGCAGTCAATTTGGATCGGATATAATTAGTAATGAGTGAGTTTATAAACTAATTTAAGTAATTAAATTGTAACTAACAGCCGCCACATATTTAAATAAATTATTTAAATGATAATCCGCTATAAAAGTGGTCAATATTAGACCCAAAGGTGGATGGAAGGGTATTTGAGAGCCAATAGGTGGTGTCAGGGGTATTTGGGAGCCAATAGGTGGATGAAGGGTAGTTTTGTACCATTTCCAATAGTTCGAGGGTATTTTAGGCCCTTTTCCGATTTTTTTTATAGATAAAATACAATTATTCACTAACCAATCTATGTGAATTAACCTAATTGCGAATCAAAAAAAATTTGTGCTTTAAGATTGTAATAAAAAATAAAGAAGTATGATGAAAATAAAAAATGAAGAAGAAGAGGACAATGAGTGGGGTTTGAAGAAGAAAAGGTGTGGAGGTGGGGTGGAAAAGAGGATTCTAACTTTTTTTTACTTTAATTTCAAACCGACGAGCCTATTTTTTATTTTTATTTTATTTTTTTGCCATGTCAGTTTTAGGGGGTAAGAAAATTCACTTTTGAATAGTAAAGGTGTGTAATAGGTCACTATGATAGTTTAAGCGTGTAATTGACTTTTCGGAACAAGTTTAAGGGGGAATTTATGCTTTTCCCAAAAAAATTTATTATATGTGAAGTACAATGAATACATCAAAATTATAATATCTTACTAAATTATGTATCATATTTATTGAATTTACATAAATACATTATACATAAAGTATAATATATGTATATCCCTTCATTGTAATATGTTTTTTTTGTTAAATAGTTCATTGTAAAATAAATTCAAAAATCTATGATTAATGATCTCGGCTACTGCAATAAAATAGACTTCAATAACTATTGAATTACCAGAGTGAAAATGATACATGTTCAAAGGTCCAGATCTTAGAAGAAATTGTGCATACCATCAAAAAAAATAATGTTGATGATGAAGTTAAAGATGATACAATACCTTTGGAACTAGATACTGTAACAAAGCACTTACCGCATCTATAACTCTTTATAATTTTATGATGTAGTTCAAAAAGATAAAATCGAAACGTTTGGATGCAATAAGAAAAGTTAGAGATGAGCCTCAACTAGATTTAAGTTTTAACAAGAAAATAAACACAATAGAATCATATTTTACTAAATTGTCTTAGATATATTTGTACTTTTAAAGAATTATTAATTTATCATATTAATGGGACCATATATTTATATATGGGTCTTCTAAAAATATATTATCTTATCAAAATTAATGATTTTTTCCATTGGCCCAAATCGGGACTAGAGAAATTTTTTTATCTTAGAGAGATTATTAATTTGTCGAGTATTAATTTAGTGAGGTTTTAACCGTATTAAAAAATTGTTCCTATTAGACATTTTCTGATAATCAACAAAAAAAATATATGAAGAGTGAGTGGTACACTTGCGCTGACATGACAAAATGACTAATTAAAATTTAACACATGGCATGGGCCCCCAAAATTAATAAAAAATATTTTTTTGTTTAAAATTATTTCAAACACATTATATATCTAATTTGTTTTAAAAAAAAAATGAAAATGTCAACATATTCTACCCAGCCTCACCCCTACCTGACCCCTCCCAACCCCATTTCGTCACCTTCTTCCCAAAACACATTCTTTTCCAACACAAAATTCAATTTCTTTTCAAATAACTTGAAGATTTAATAAAAAATATAATACTAGATACATCAATTCTATCAAACTTTCGAATATCATTTTGATGAATTTGGTGATTTGTTCGAAAATGGTGATAGATTGTCCGACTTTTTTTCATCCAATGCATAAAAATAATTTATCTTATTTCTTTGTTCTTCTTTCTTCATACATTCAATTAGTTGATTCAGATTTGAAAGAAATAAAATTTTAAAAAAAAAGAGAGGAGAGAAACACAGTGTTGAAGCAAAAATGGAGAAAGCTTTGGAAACTAAATTAAGATGAAGACGATGATTGGTGGGGTCATTATAGTGCCAAGTGTCAATAAAAGAGGAAAAAATGTATTTTATTTAAAAAAAACACTATTTGAACTTTCTTCACGCGCCCCAAGAAAGCCTAGAACACGATTTTTGCCACATCAGTGTTTTGTGTTTAATAGGTACATGTTTTGAGGAATTTAGGTGTTCAATAAATACAAGTTTTATTTGAGGTGTCTATAATTATGCGAACAAGTTTTAGGGGTAGTCGAGACTTAAGTTGGCAAGCTAATAATAATTAATATTGGACAAAAAAATGGACCAAGGAAGTAGCATATATTTCAACAATTTGAATAAGCACTTTTTCAACATTGTGAAATACCCCTCCCCCCCCAAAAAAAAAAAAAAAGACACTTATGTATAAGAATCAGGGTCCACTAAATAAGCGAAGGGACACATGTATAGTATTTAAGGGTCATTTGGTAGATTTTTTGCAATGTATGCTATTTTTAATATACCAAATCAAACCGTGCATAAGAATCTTTTATGTATAATTAATGCAAACATAACTAATATAAACATTACTAATGCAAATATTCCTAATACACTCTATTTATCATTATATTTATACACTCTACCAAATGATACTTTACCAAAAAATAAATCTATATATCTATAGATATAAAGTTAGATGTAGGAGAAGTGATGTGGCATGCCTCTAAAGCCACCATTGGCATTTATCTTTTATCTTTTTTTTTTTTGAGATATTTTATATAAAAAATACATTTTCTATTCATTAAATAACTTAAAAAAACCTCACAAAATAAATCCCCACGTATGAGTAATCAATCATATCTTTAAGACAATAGCAAACCAAAAAAATCCCAAATAACCTACAACCCACGTAGTAGCTATATGAATGTCTACATTAAACTCCAATTAAGCGTTTTAATCGTCCCTGTTGGAATGTATGCATCCACTAACTACGATGGGACCAGGTCCTTTACATAGTTGTGATGCACGAAAGTAAATACAAAGATTAAAGAGAAGACACAATACTTTACGTGGAAGCCTCCTTGCTCAAGGGAGTGAAACTACGACCTGTCTCACAGGATTTTCAAACTGTTTTCACTAATCTTCACAAGCAAAAGCGAAATACAGTTTACAACCACACAATGAGATTAACCTCCTAATCTCAATACTAGGTAATACAACCTATTACTTAACTGAGCCTAAGCAATACCTGCATTGCCCACTATACTAATCCTTACTGATTAATATAGACTTTTTCCTAAGACACAAAGTTACCCTCAACTATGTGCTTACAATGATTCACACAAGGTTTTGAAACGTTTCTTATCAAAGTGAAACGAATCCTACAAGTTAAGCACAAATACAAGCAATCAAAATAACAACAGGTTCAGGAAGTGAATCGTCAGTCTATGAGGTCCCTTGTTGTTTTGTTGAAGCTTGAATTTTCTCTCTTTGAATGAATAATATGATATGTTGTTTGTCTTGTTGAATATAACAACCATAAAGAATTATTAACCGTTGGACAAACTACCTCGTCCATTCTGATTGGTTCAGTACGCTGACGACCTCACCAACCCCTGACACGACATCTTTCCAGCTGTATAGCACATTACCTTGGACGAGAGCACTCTGCAGAGAACCAGGTCTCTGTATTTGTGAGGATCATCAAAACATCTGGAAATAGTAAGACTTATCACTTTCCCCCTTTTTGATGATGACAAACAATTGACTCACATGAGTTAGCATTCATTCAAAGTGCATCATTCTCCCTATCAATATTCCCCCTGTCACTATACTCTAATTTCACAAACAATTTACGATCAATTCCCCCTTTTGACATCATTGAAAAGGAGTAACAATAAATATATACAAGCTGCATGCAAACGTTAGGAATTCAGGGCCATGGGCCACACAGTACATGCGCAAGTAAGCAAAAATAGAGAAGATAAAAGCATACTAGTCAGGGCAAAAAAAGATGATATCATTAGATCACTAATGCTGACCACAAGGTTTGATAAAAACAATACACTTTGCCACAAGAACTGAAAAGAGAAACCAACATAGACGTTGAAAGACATATTAAACTTGAATGAAAGACTTATTTAGGATAGAGGGGAAGAAGGAGGTAAGGACCACAACAATAGGGTCATGCGATTATTAACATCGACATGGGCCTGGAGTAGTTACTTGTTGAGAGCCTGAACTACCTCACTGAGTGAGGCATTTTTCTTCAGTAGCTGGCATTTTCAGCTCTCAATTTTTTGACTTCTTCCTTACCCATAGAACTGGTACCAGGTCCCTCAGAAATAGTCTACTCGTCTGAGCCTTAAGTCATACAATCTCAACCTCCTTTACATTCAAGGTTACTGTAAGATCATTTAGCTCTCGCTTGAGAGATTCTAGCTGCTCAAGAAGATCAGACACCTGAGACTTACCCTTGACCTATCCTTCAGTACATTCACATTTAATGAGGGTTGTAGGAGAGAACATCTGTTTCACAGTTTCAGGTACTCCCCTGCCAAGAGGTACTCTAAAGTGGTCGAACACATGGTTGAGTAGGTACCCATAAGGTATGCCATGTTTAACATTTTTCCAAGTCATCACCCTATGCATCTGTTCAAGCATAATCGCAGAAAGGTTGATAGCCTCAAGTTCATCCAACTGTTCCATGTGGAACAAATCTGCGACAGATGCTACAGTTCTCTTCTCACTCCTGGCACTAGGACCTTGTTAATGAACTCAAAAATTAATTAATACTCTCCTTTTAGGAACTTCTTGGGTAGACCAACACGCTTAATGTCCCCACGCTTGGTAGCCCTTTGAAAAAAATCACTGGAAGGTTTGCAACCTTCAATGGACCAGATCCCTATAGAATGAACTCTGTTGAGTCCACAATTAGACTCATTTAGTTCTTTATTTTGATAGAAATTGTGTCCTCGAATGCTTATTTTGTCTCAATATCTGATGAAAACTCTTAGGTTTCAGGTATTTGAAGTTTTAGTGGAAGCATGGACACTTAGGCGCAAAAAGGAACAAAAAGGCTGAAAAGAACGAAGAAACTGAAGCATGAGCATCTCTAAGAACCTTTGGCGATTTGCTGAAAGGATAGACTCCGCCCATTGTTCCAGTATGCGAAGCCCTAAAGGAAGAGGATAAAAAAGACGATGAAAGGAGCAGTCGGCGCTTCGCTGAATAGTTCTGTGAAGCAGTACTATACCACCCAATGGTCCAGAACGTGAAGATTCTGAAGGCAAGCATGAAACGGTGATGAAACAGAAAAAAGGGTGAGTCACTGAGTCATTCGGCGACATAGACTAACTTCGCCGAAAGATCCACCAACGCTATTTTCTGAAGTCTATAAATACCGAACTCTTTATTAATTTTATAAGTCCTGAACCATTTTTATATTGTTCATAATAGAATAGTACTTTTTAGATATTTTTCTCTCAAGTTTGGAGAGGGTTTTATGGGAGAGTTGAAGAGAGAAGGATTTCATCTTCCCCAAGTTGGAAGTGGGTCTTCTCCATTCTTCTTCCTTTACTTAAATCAAGGTTTAATTTCTTATACCCATTTTATTTTAGTATCATTTTAGGTGTATTTTGTTATTTCTTGATGTGTGGCTAAAAAGCCCATTCTTGGGGTGTGATTTAGCAAATATGTGTTGATATTGTTGTTGGGCTTGCTTGCTGATAGACTAGATGTATTTTAATGGTGATTTCACGTAGTGGTGTGGTTTAATTTAAATGGTTTGTAGTTGCAAATACAAAACCACCCATGTGTTTTCGGCTTGCCCGAGAGGGAGGTCGCTAAACCAAGACCACTAGGCTGATGGCCTAAGGAGTGGGTCGACATGAGGTTCAGCCCGAGAGGGTGAGCCCTAGTCCCATATCCTAACACTCAGCTTGAGAGAATGAGTGGGGTAAGGCGTAGGCTAGTCTTCATGCGGCAGATGAGTGTCCGAGAGGAACCCATTTGAAACGGGGTAAGTTGCCTGAGAGGAAACTGATTTCCATTTAAAGCTTAGCCTAGTCACTATTATTTTGCAAATTTCCTATCGAAAGCATGTACCCAACGATTTATCTTAGCTTGTATTGCAGTCACACCCCAAGAACTTCTCCCCATACTTGATTTTCTTGTTAATTTTTTGTTGTGTTTACTACTTGTGACAAAACCCCCATTTGATATTTGATATTTGACACTTTCATGTCACCTCCTTTAATTTACTATGTTTTTGTTCATCAATATCTTTAGCTACGACTAGTTAGAACGTAATTTTATTTTTCTATCAATTCTCAAAACCACTCCCTTGGGACACGACCCCAACCTTTAGTTGGGTTACTATACTATCGACGATCGTAAACACTCATACCGTAGGTTAGTGTCATTGGTCATGATAAACATCAAACTCTCAAAATGATTCCCAAGCTTTCTTCATTGAGAGATATCTTTACTGCCCAAACTGTTGTTTGAATACCTTCATCATCGAGGAGCACTATTTTATAATAAAACTCCCGCACTTCTGGCTCGTGCAAATAAGGTGCTGGACATTCAAATAGGTGTTCCCAACTTTGAAGGGACACATAATCAAAAAGAGTAGACATACCATGTTTTGCGAGAATGTATAGATCAAATACCCTTCCGTTGAGCACCTTTTGATTTTCGAGTTCAACAACACGCTCTTCTCTTGTCAACTCCCCACCCTCGACTTGCTTCTGAGAGGTCGTACCTGGTCCCTTATCGGATTTCGGTTTATAGGGGCCCTTTTTAGACACCTTGTCCTTTTTATAGGTGATTTCTTCAAAGTCTTAGGAACCCTTTTAGCCTTGACTCGTTCCTTTTCTGCCTCCGCCTTCCGTTTCACCAATGTTCAAACAATGTCTTCAGATTCTTTTCACTTGAGCCTATGTTTAGAGGAAGCGAGGTAGGTTCCTTTGTAGGCACACGAAGAATCCTTCTTCGTCTACGATTTCTTTCTGTTTGGACTTTGTTTACCGTCAAAACATCTCCCATTAATTTTTATACCACCCCTCTTGTTGCATATCTTCTTTTGTCTCATTTGGGGTGAGACTCCACCATTTTTCCTTTTCTCTTTCTTTTTCTTTTCCTTTCAGACTTAGTAGGCGCATCCTTAAGTCTAGTCTCAGGTGCAACCTGAGTTGTTGCAAGATCTGAGACTACCGTAGTCGACACATTTGCCCCTTGAACCCCTTTTCTAGACCAACTTAGAGGGGTTTCTTCTTTATCTTCCTCTTCACTGCTAACCCCCATGGTCACATGAGTTTGGTCGAACACTGGTTGAACACTACGGGGGACCAGTTTTGGTGATCTGTATTCTTGTTCTAAGAGTGTTGACTGAGTATCCCCTTTGAGAGACGCCAAACTTTGTACGACCACCAATTCCTCTGCCGCTGCTAGTATGTTGGATTCCATACCTTTTCCCTCAGGCAAATCACATTCAAATAACCTTCCAAGACATAGTGGACGACACAAGCCCTAGTTGAGACACGACTTGTAGACCTTCAATGGGAGTCGATCTCAAGGGTAGGCTTCACAACTGACTGGGCCTCAGAATTTTTTGAATCTTTGTCTGATAGAACCAGAGTTGGAGAGCAAGGCAAGACATCCCCAAGGTTGATTTTAGGAGATACTAACACTTCAGCGTGGGGTGTGATAGATTCATCAGTCTCACCAACCTCACAAACTAGTGTGGACGGAGATCCTTCAGGAGGATGAATTGAGAAATTGAATGAACTGAGGTTTTTGATTTCTTAGGAGAGAGAAGATTTTGAGGAAGAAGAAGAGTTCAACATTTTCTCAAACAAGAAGAAGAAGACAATTGACATCTTAGTGAGATAATTCGAGGAGAGTAGGAAAGAATTTTTTGAGTGTTGAATTCTCACAAAATGGTGTATTTAACAAGGTATCGGGTCCCTAAACAGTAGTGACTCTTGGTTTTTAAACTGAAAAGACATTTGTAAGTGACACAAAAAATAGGGAGGAGACATGTGGCAGTGACCGTTGACAGAAAACTGTGTAGTAAAAGTGATACTAACCTTCTGGGGGACCAGGTCCCTCTCTATAGATAGCTCTTCCTATTATGGTTAGATGTTCCCTTCAGCCAACATATATGAGTGTGTACCTGCAGTAAGGTACCATGTGTGAGTTCACAAACGTTAAGCAATACAACATGTATAGATACCTGCCCTCCCTAGCATAGTCATATGAGAGGCTTCATGCAAACTTCTTGTGACATCAGGTGATCTTATGCATTCCCAAACTCAATCTGTTCTTGATGAAGCTTTCTTTGCCTAATACCTTGGTGAAGATATCAGCCACTTGGTCTTCCATCTTATAGTACCTCATCACCACGTTCTTCTTATTAACATTGTCTATGATGAAGTGATGCAACACATCTATGTGTTTGGTCCTCTTATGCTAGGTCCTCTTATGCTAGACATGATTCTTGGCCATGTTTATTGCGCTTGTATTGTCACATATAAGAGGAATGGTATCTGTGAGAACACCAAAATCTTCGAGATGCTGCTTGATCCATAAGAGTTGAGCACAATATGATGCAGCCGCCACATACTCAGCTTCAACACTTGATAGAGTTACTGAATTCTGCTTCTTTGTTCCCCATGAGATTAGTGATGACCCTAGAAAATGAGCCATCCCTGAGGTGCTTTTTCGATCAACAAGAAACCATGCATAATCAGCATCAACATAACCAATTAGATCGAAAGAGTCGTCAGAAGGATAGAAAAGGACCAGGTCTTGTGTTCCCTTCAAGTATCTCAGTATTTGCTTGGCTGCTTTCATGTGTGACTCTTTTGGAGCAGCTTGAAACCTGACACACATTCCTACACTGAAGATTATATCAGGTTGACTAGCAATGAGATAAAGAAGAGATCCAATTATTCCTCTATACATAGTCTGATTCACATCAATGACAACTTCATCTTTGTCCATTTTTGCATTTGTACTCATTGGAGTATCAATAGTTTTGGCCTCTATCATACTGAACTTCTTGAGCAATTCCTTGATATACTTCTCCTGACAAATTGATGTACCATGGGGAGATTGTTTGATTTGCAACCCTAAGAAAAAAGTTAGTTCCCCCATCATGCTCATTTCAAATTCACAACTCATTAGGGCTGCAAATTCTTCACACAGAGGATCTATAGTAACTCCAAAGATGATATCATCTACTAGACTTGCACTATGAAGAGCTCCTTTCCTCTTGACTTCAAGAACAATGTGTTGTCAATTTTTCCTCTTTTGAACCCATTTTCAAGAAAGATTTTTGACTATCGCTCGTACCAGGCCATAGGTTATTGCTTTAGGCCATACAATGCTTTGTCTAGATTTAGCACGTGATTAGGCTGATTAACATCTTCAAACCCTGGAGGCTGCTTGACATAGACTTACTTCTTTAACTACCCATTTAGGAAAACACTCTTGACATCCATATGGAAGAGCTTGAATCCCATGTATGTGGCAAAAACTATCAGTATTTTAATGGCTTCCATCCTCACAACAGGTGCAAAGGTCTCATCATAATCGATACCTTCTTCTTGACTATAGCCCTGCATTACTAATCTTGACTTGTTTCTTGTGATTGTTCCATGCTCATCCAATTTATTTCTGAACACCCATTTTGTGCTAATGATGGTTTTGTTAAAGTGGTCTGGGGACCATGTGCCATACTTTGATTCTATCAAACTGATGCAACTCTTCTAGCATTGAGTTCACCCAATCAGCATCTAACAGAGATTCTTTGATGTTCTTTGGTTCAAGAGTGGATATGAAAGCTGAGAACGCAACCAAATTTCTTGCCTTAGATCTAGTTTGAATTCTAGATTCAAGAGGGGAAATCAAGTTGTCTCGAGGATGAGATGAATTATGTTTCCTTATCTGGTTCATCAGCTTGGACATCACTTTTTGATTCTCCATTCTGAGTCTCTCTTTCATGAGCATCATCTTGAGAGGTACTTCCATAGGTTGTTCAGCCTTTTCATCACTCTAATTCTTTTCATGCCGAGCTTCTCAAACTTGGTTTTCCATCTGAATCTACATTAGCTCATCAAATTCAAGATCCTCTTTTCCTTCTCGATTGCTCAACTCACCTGATTCATCAAAAAATACATGCACACTCTCCTCCACACATTTGGTCCTTGTATTGTATACCTTGTAGGCTTTGCTTGAAGAGGAGTATCCCAGAAACATTCCTTCATCACTTCTTGGATCAAATTTTCTAAGATCATCCTTGTTGTTGTTCAACACAAAGCACTAGCATCCAAAAACCTTTAGATGAATAAGAGATGGATTTCTTCAATTTAGCAGTTAATAGGGAATTTTCTTCAGAACTAATCTGATTAAACATCTGTTGGTGACATAACAAGTTGTATTCACTGCTTCAGCCCAAAAGCTCATTGCAAGAACAGAATCTTTGAGCATTGTTCTGGAAATGTCTACTATAGGTCCTGTTATTCCTTTCAACAACCCCATTTTGTTGAGGAGTTCTTGGAGCAGAGAAGTTATGGTGGATTCCATGGTTAGCGCAGAAGCCTTTGATTTGGGCATTTTCGAATTCGGTACCATGATCTGCCCTGATGCTTGCAATTTTGGTGTTTAGTATCAACTCGATCCCCTTTGCAAAGGTCATTAGTGTTCCAGTTGTTTCATCTTTTGATCTCAAGAACATGTTCCACATGAATCTGGAGAAGTCATCGCTAATTTCCAGGATGTATCTCTTCCCTCATTTACTTTGGATTTTCATTGGTCCACACTAATCCATGTGAAGAAGTTCTAGTGGCCTGGAAGTGGTGACATCTTTATTTTCCTTGAATGATGATCTTGGTTGCTTACTCTTTACGCATGCCTCACAGATTTTATTTTCAGCAAATTTCAACCTGGGGAGACCACGGACCAGGTCCCCTGCAACCAATTTATTCAGCAATAAGTAGCCTACGTGACCCAATCTTCTGTGCCACAGACTTGCATTTTCAGATTGAGCACTAAGACAAGTAAGATTGTCTCCTTCTATAGAATCCAAGTCTGCAACATACATGTTCTTCACTTTTTTGGCAGTAAGAAGAACTTTATTGGAAGTGAGACCTGTGACTATACATTGATCTGCCACAAATCTTACCTTATTCCCTTTATCACATATTTGTGAAACACTAAGAAAGTTATATTTCAAGCCACTCACATAATACACACTATCTATGGAGTGCTTCATTGATCTCCCAATCTTCCCAACACCTAAAATGAGCCCATTTTTACCATCACCAAATGACACACCACCGCCTTGGTGTGCTTCCAAAGAGTGGAAATTTTGAGTGTCTCCCGTCATATGCTTAGAGCAACCACTGTCCATATACCAGTATTGACTGCTTCCTCTCTTCTGCACAAGAATCACTTATTAGATTTAGGAACCCACTTGAGATGGAGTTCCCAAAAACTATCAAAAGGTTTAATGAGAAACCTTCCTGTCCATGGGGGTAAAGTATTCTTGCTAAAATGATAACTGGGACCACCAGGTACCTTCCTCTTTTCTACTTTTCTTTTACCTGACTTAAATAAGTTCTTCTAATTTTCTTTTACCCTTTTTAGAGACTCACAATTCTTCTCTAGGTGACTGTTTCTTCCAAAATGGGTACACAAGAGATTGTCAGAGACATCGACATATTTACTGTGAGGGTTGTAGGGAGGTTCTATCTTTCTACACCCTAAGTATTTTCTTCTGTTGAACTTCTGATTAGCTAAGTTTGAAAGAATCTTAGATGAATCAGTCCATTTCAGGGAATGGTTTAGCTCTTCTTTGATCTGACTTAAGTCCGTCACTAGTTGTGAATTCTTTTCAAGAGAAACAACTAGTTTGGACTCAGAAGCAACCTTTCTTCCAGTTCAACCTCAAAACTACTGAGTTTTCTTTTTCCACCCTCTGAGGTACCAAGTTCCTCGCTAGACTTCAGACTCTCAGTTTCTAGAATACTCACCCTAGTGCTCATTTCAGACATTTGATACACAAGGGCAGTTTTCTAATCCTCACAGATACTCAACTTTTAACTTAACATGGCATTTTCATTTGTTATTTCATCTACAGAATCAATAAGAACTGCAACAAGTTTTCTCAATCTCTTAATCGACAAGGTGTCTAATCACTTTTAAGATCAAACAAAGTTACCTCATCTTTTTCATCCTCTTCATCAGATTTTGACATCAGGGACAATATGGAGTTGAAGATAATTTCTTCATCCTTCACCACCATCATGGAGACATCGCCATGACCCTCCTCCTGCACAGAATCACTAGAGGCATTTCCCAGTGTTGCAAAGGCTTTCTTTATGACTTGATCAGTTTGAGCCTTCCTCTTGTCATGGACAGGGACCTGGTCCCTTCGCCATGGTTTGAACTCCTGAACTTCTTGCTTTTGTCTGTGACAGTCTCTTATGAAGTGGCTAGGCTTTCCACATTTGTGACACAGATCGTTTGCAGTAGCCGTTCTACTGGTGGTTCCCCTTTTCTGGAATCCTCCCATGCTTTTTGACAATCTTTTGGAATCTCCTAGTCAGATAGGCCATCTCATCCTCATCATCAGATCCATCACTTTGAACCATTTTTAATGCAACAAATTTCTCCATTTTTCCCTCCTTTACCGATGAACCCTGCTGCCTGTTCAGCTCGTAGGACTGCAAGTTCCCGATCAGATCATCCATGGTAAGCACTTTTAGGTCCCTTGACTCAGTGATTGCATTCACTTTACTTTCCCAGGATTTGTCAAGAACTTTGAGAACCTTTCGAACTTGTTTGCTTGGGTGAATGGGTTCACCAAGGCATCTTAGTTCATTTGTGATGGAAATGAACCTTATATGCATCTCATGAATGGTTTCTCCTTCCTTCATGCTGAAGTTCTCATACTGAGTTGTTAACATGTCTACTTTAGACTCCTTAACTTAGGTGGTTCCTTCGTGGGCTATTTTTTAAACAGTCCCAAATTTCTTTTGAAATCTCGCAAGCCGGAATCCTGTTGTACTCATCTAGACCAATCCCACAAACCAGCAACTTCTTGGCTTTATAGTTCTTTTCTTTTTTCTTCCGATCAGCCTCATCATATTCTCTTCTGGTCTTTGGGATCACTTTTGTAAGTTCTCCTTCTTTTACATCTTTGGTGGGAATTTATGGTCCATCAAGTATCACGTCCCACAACTCAGTGTCTTCTACATTGATGTGATCATGCATCCGTGTGTTCCACCATCCATAGAATTACCCGTTGAAGCGGGGTGGACGGGTGGTAGACAGTCCTTCCTCTAGTCTCGGTGGAGCAGTCGCAGCTCTGATACCACTTGTTGGATTGTATGCGTCCACTAACTACGATGGGACTAGGTCCTTTACAGATATGTGATTGTCATGACCCAAACCTACACCCTGGACGTGGCCAGCACTCGAGAACCATTGCTGGTCCCCAAGTGAACCCTCATTCTGGCTGACTTCAAGCGGAAGACTAACTCAAGCATACAAATCTTAAAAACTGAATAAATATTTATGAAACTTAAATAGAAAGCTTTAGCTCAAAAGTAAACTCCAAATAAAATAAATTATTCAACTTGCCATAGAATAGACAACTTAAATCTTTAAAATATTTAAGAAAATAAATGATACAAACTTCTCAACTATACTGACTATCTATGAAACCACTAACTGATATAGATGGAAGTTGGGATAAGAACCATGACATCATGACTAAACTGAAAAGTAAATGAAACCATCCAGAAATAAGGAGGCTCACAATAGCTAACTCGAACTCGCGGATGTATCAACGAATCTCCTGTTGATGATCCTGAATACCTATTTCTACATCATGAAAAGATGCAGGACAAATGGCTTAGTATGTGGAATGTATGACCACATAAGAGGAATTCTAAAGCATAAGCATAAGCTTGAACTTTGATAAAAAGGAAACATACTTACCTCTTCTCAACTCACTCAACTCAAAGAAACATAGCTCAACTCAATGATTAGATATTCAACTCAGAGGTATACTCAAGGATACTCAAAACTACTCAAACTTACTCAACTCAGAAGTACTCAAGGATAAGATACTCAACTCAAAATACTCAAGGATAATGGAACAGTAAAAGATGCAATATATATGAAAAGCTGTAAAACTATAGATAGCAACTCAATGTACTGAAAAATACAATAATACTCGGTATGTATATAAAAATATAATATAAATCTGTGGGAGTTTCTCTAACCGACAACCATCACTTAAGAGCTATAGTGATGATACAACACTTTACCTCATGCTGCCAAGGACCATCCTATACCTTGCCGGGGGTATACAACCTAACTCACTAAGTGGATCCACTAGTCTATGCTAAAAGCATCTTAAGGAGTCATCTAAAAAGTATGATCTTTTACTACCTATGATGACTACATGGTTTATGGAGACTTGAGTTATCTGAACTCGCATCCCCATATCGGTGCTCAATACTACTCCCAAAATATACTTAGCTCATATATTTGTAAAAAAAAAACTCTTTCTTTGGTTTGAGATAATTACTCAAAACTTAGCTTAAAAGCTCTCTTGGAAATCATAGTTTCCTCTCTACTGAAAAACTAGCTCAAAGGCTCTTTTGAAATATCAGTTTCCTTTCTTGTTTAAATGTGAAAACATTTATTCTTTAGGAATACACTGTCCCGATATACTCTTTTGAAGAAATAAACTCAACTCTTTGCTTAACTCAAAAATTAAGTCTTAAAACAAAGTTAGAACGTTTGTAAAAGACTTCTTAAAATATGGTTCATGCCGAATTATGGATGTGAATGACTTAATGCAAGGTTTTTAATAACCATAGATAGAACTCAATACTTGGAACTCAAGAACTTCGATAATACTACTCACTTCAAGAATGCTCAACTCAGAGGGTTCATGTGGAATTTATGAGCATGAACTACTCAACTCAATGACTCAAAGATACTTCTCGTTTTAAGACTGCTCGACTTATAGGGTTCATGCGGAATTATGGACATGAATAACCCAACTCAAGGACTTGATGGGTAACATGTAATAGTCCCATGATTAGGAATGTAATCTCAAATGGGTTAGAAACTCAATACTTAAGACTTAGGACATGGAGATATTACTCCTCTCATAGATACTAGAGTAATGGAGTTCATACGGAATTTATGGGCATGAACGACTTGACTCGTAGGTCTACCTAACATTATGGAACTCATGATACAACTCTTCTCATTCTCATACTTACTTTCTCAAAATTTAACTCAAATCGATTATGGATTTCAAAGGATTCACAATTGAACTCAAAACTTTCTGGAACTCTACTCTTAACTCTCTCTTGAATGTGAATGTGAATTATGAATTCAAGAGTTATGGTTCATACTATGAAAGATCTCATGATGACAAAGTAGACTCATGTATACATTCTCCTCACTCTCATTCTCACTTGAGTCTTGAAACAAGTTACAAGAAGTTGTAGAAGACTCCACAAAAGGACTCAAAGGGATTTTCTTAGAATGTTCGAAATAATTCTCAAAACTTAACTCTTAACTCTACCTTGCATTTGAATTATGAATTCAAGGTTATGATCATGTTAGGAATGATTTTAGGTGTTTATAAGTAGCTTAGAGTAGTTGGAATAAAAAAAGTGTAAAGGTACCTTTCCAAAGAACTCAAACGGAGCAACTGATTGCAAACTGGATGGGGAAGGCGATCCTGGGGTTATGGGTGGCGCGGAGCTAGCGTGATCAAGTTCCCTAGTTCAGAAATAAGACCGTATACATAGACAAGAAATGACAAAGCACCGCAAAAACAAAAAATGGCAAGATATCAACAAATAATATGTAAATTATAATCATGAAACTTTATCTAATTATCAAAATCATAAAACAAGCCAGATATATCGGAAACTTAAAGGCTTGGAAGCAAGAACTAATTATAAACTTATAGTCAAGAGCGTAAAGCGGTGAAACAAGATAGCTAACTGCTGAAAATCTAAAGCAAAAAATGGATAACACTTTCTTACTACACTCTAAATTCATGTTGTTCAGGTGAAGGACAACTTACAAATAATACTCTTGTAGCTGGCAAAGCTTGTTAAACTGGTTTTTGGTACCCTAAACCCAAAAAACCAGCTGTCACGACCCGAGCCTACACCCTAGACGTGGCTGGCACTCGAGATCTATTGTTGCTCCCCCAAGCGAACCCTCATCCTGGCTGGCTACAAGCGGAAGAACAACTCAAACATACAAAAGCTTAAAACTGAAATGAATTCAATAAACTCGAATACTCAATCTTTTTAAAAGTCTGTACAATACTCAAAATAAAAGTAAATACAGAAACTACTCAACTCTAGTTATCTATGAAGACTCTACTATTACAAAAGTATATCGGGACAAGATCCACGACATCTCAAAACTACTAACTGTAAGATAAAGGTGAAGTCCTACAAAATATAAGATGGCTCACCAAAGCTGATTGGAATATCACATGACCTCAACGAAATGCCTGTTGATGATCCTGAATACCTATATCTGCATCATGAAACAATGCAGGCCAAATGGCTCAGTACATTGAATGTACGAGCATGTAAGGGGAATTCTAAAGCAAAAACATAAGCTTGAACTGATGAAAAAGAAACATACTTACCTCTTCTCAACTTACCCAACTCAACAATAAAGTACTCAATTCTGACTCAAGATACACAACTCAAACATAAGATACTCAGCAACAATAAAAGATGCAATGTCTAGAAAGCTTTTAAAACAATAGGTAATTATTCAATTGTATGCAAAAATACAATAATAACTTAATTTTATGAAAATACAATAATAACTCTATTTGTATATAAAAATACAAAGTAACTCTGTGGGAGATTCTCTAACTAACAACCATCACTATGAGCTATGTGATGATACATCGTCTAGCCCATGCTATCAAAACTGTCCTATACTTGCCGGGGTATAGAACCTACTATTTAGTGGATCCAGTAGTCTATGCTAAAAATCAATAAAGGAATCATCTAAAAATTATGACCCTTTTTCTTCCCACATTGGTTACATGGTTTATGGGGGTTATGAGTTGTTAGAACTCTCCCCCATATCGATGCTCAATACTATTCCCAAAATATAACTTGCTCATATGTTTAAAAACATAACTGTTTCTGTGGTTTGAAATTATTACTCAAAAATCATTCTCTTAAAAGAAATGGTACTCAAAACTGCTCAAAACTCTTTAGGAAATCAGTGTTTTCTCTCATCTTAAATGTAAAAACATTTACTCTTGGGAATACTTAGTTCCCATTTATCATTTTAAAGAAATGAAACTTGACTCTACTCTTCCTCAAACTCAGGTGCTCAAGTGTTAAAACAAGTTTAAAGCGATTGTAAAAGACTTCTCAAAATAGGGTTCATACGGAATTATGGGCATGAACTACTCAACTCAAGGACTCAATGATACTTCTCATCTCAAGATTGCTCGACTCATAGTGTCACGACCCGAGACTACACCCTGGACGTGGCCGACACTCGAGAACCATTGCTGGTCCCCAAGCGAATCCTCATCCTGACTACAAGCAGAAAACTGATTCAAGCATACAAAGCTTTAAAACTGAAATAAAATTCAATAACCCAACTTATCAAAACTTTAACTCAAATGAACAACTTAGAATAAAAATAATATATTCAACTTGCCAAAAAATAGGCAACTTAAGTCTTTAAAACATTTTATAAAATAAATGAATAATACAGACTTCTCAACTATACTGACTATCTATTAAGTCTCTAACTGATTAAGATGGAAGTCGGGACAAAACCCACAACATCATGACTAAACTTAAAAGTAAATGAAATCCTCCGAAAGCAAAGAGACTCACCATAGCTAACTCAAACTCTCGGATGTATCAACGAAGCT